ACCCATGAAGCCTAACACGCACGCGACCAGAAAGGGCATCCGAGCCTCAATAGCACCAGCTGCACCAGCCACACCAGCCACGCCTTCCTGACAGCAACACCCAGACTTCCCCAACTAGTGCTTTGACGACTGGCAGCCTCTGAAGGACCAGGATGCTCAAGCTCGTCCGCCTGGCACAAGACACACCGAATACGCAGTCTAGCATGACTACCTAGCTTCACACTGCTCTGAGCCTTCTTCTCCGCAGGGCATGCAAGGCCATTCAGGCCTTCCTGTCACGCCACACAACATCTCACACAAAATAATCAACAGCCATAATCGTCGGTCCTCAAATCGTTTGCGCGCATCATCCAGCACGGATTTCTTAGGTGGCATCCGCACCGACCGAAGCCAAGCAATCGAGCCACCAGGTCTAAGTCAGTCAGACCCCAGTGTCAACTGGAATATTAACCCTGCCACGGGCAATTGAAGACATGACATGTTCTGAGATAGCTGCGACCAATATTCATGATGCGATGCCCTGGGTAATCCCTTGTCGTCAAAGAAGTCCGCATTGCATCTGCCGACACCACAGGGCAACGTGAGCATCATGAGCAACCTATGCAACCTGGATAACCCGGCAACACCCCAAGCCTGACACGCCAGAGCCTATTATGGCCATCCCAAAGTGGCTCAAGAGTACGGCCGGCACAAGTGGCGACGCCCTCAGACCGGAAAACACACTGTCTGGTCTCTCCAGTCTAGGGTATCTATGGTCAGAGCATCCAAGGCCCACGCGCAGAACTCCGGTTTGGGCAGCAAGGGCGCAGGAGCATCCGGCGGCGCCGCAGATGCGGGCACAAGCACACCACGTGGCATGACAACAATCCCAGTTGCAAGTGCGAAATGTTACTGTATTTTGAAGACCTGTTAAATCATCCAAGTGATTCACATTCCAGGCTCAGTTTGAAGACCTGTGCCATCATCCAAGTGATTCACATTCCAGGCTCAGTAGACAAAATGTCTGCACAGGACAGGCATAGCATGCATGGTACACAGGATGCATGTCAAGTAGCAAGTTTGTTGACTATTTCCCGTCTATTTTTTGCAGGGTCCCCCACTCTGACAAGAATAGCCGGGCCGCCTTTTAATAACAGGTGGCACTGGACCTAACCCCCCCCCCTCATCCGTCAATTGTTAGGGGGGGGGCATGCAGAGTTCTGCTTTGCTGCGCTGTGTGCAGTCTAGAAGTCAACACGCGTGGAATCTTGCAGCCGACCAGTTGGGCATCTCTTGCTTTTAGGTTTTTAATCATGACGAGGAGTCGATGTGCAGACGGATGCTGCAAGGGGGCCCTCCCAGGGGTTGGGTTTGGTCGATGGCGCTAAGACAATTGACAGGGCTGGAAATGAAGCGATTCCTACCCACTCACGCTGCTTTGAGGCTGCGCACTCCTGAAGGAGCTGTGCAGCATCTGCCTGGGTCTGGAGAAAACGCAGCTTCGCACAAAAGATATTTCGACAACTACAGTTGCTGAAGCGCTGGCGCGCATGTTGAAGTGCGCCCGAGAGCCCTCGCAAAAAACAGTTTTGGAAGGGGCTTTTTGGCCCTCAGTGCTTTTGACAAGCAAAGCGCACGATTACTGGTACTTCCCCTACAGTTTTTCAAGCATGCTATACCGTTTCTGCTTGCTCTGCAGCTACCTGCACCAGCACCACATACCACAGCGAGTACTGCATGAGAGAGAAAGCAACAGCCTGCGGATTGAAATCATCAAAGGGAACTTCACAGTGCGCTCCACGCCGAAGATGAATCCCATCATTACCTGAGCTGTGCTCTCTCCAGGGCTTTGCAGTTGCAGCTGTGAGAGCCAATTTTGCCGAGTTTCGTTCTCAGTCTGCGTCACAGGCACGTCGACTAAGCTGTGTCCACAGCCTTGACAGGCCTGACAAGTTTTCACTATTTTTCACTCTTCCAAAAAAATAATTGACAGCTCAGATCTCGCACATGGATAGACTGCACTTTCCCGTAAATGTTACATAGCCGAGGCTATTTGCAGTGGGCCTTCTGATTGCAGGCGCAGGGGCGGCCGCACTTGCCACAGACCTGACAGCCCAAGTCTGCATGAGCGCCCGCTGCAGGACGTGAACGAAGACTTTGGTGTTTTCTGCTGTACAGCCAGAACCCCTGAAATTTTCTAAGCGTACACTGGCCAACATCCATGCATGGACGAGCCTTGACGTCGTTGTACATGTACTTTCCCAGCCTTATTTGTCAGAGTTCATGCTGCTTGCATCAGCAAAGGCAAAGGAAAACACCATGCCTATGCCATGCTTGACAATCCAGGGAGCTCTTCATTGGCGCGTGCCAAGCTGTCCACTGCTCCTCCCACCTGCGCAATTCTTTGCAGGATCTCGGCTGCATGTAAAATTTCACGGCTAGAGAGCCCGGCCGGTGGCTTCAGCATCTCGGTTGTGGAGCATATGGCTGGGAAGGCGCCAATGAACCTGAAGTTGCTGGGCACACTTCAGGAAACGCAAGGCTCTCCTGCGCGTGCAACACTTTCATGAATGCCCGGGATGTTGAAGGATCACCTTTGCCACATGCTTGACCTGCATGCCTTCAGGTCCTAGGGTAGCGCCTTTGCATGCTTTTGCTTGATGCGGCTCTTGCGGCTATGGTCATCAGTTTAGGATGCGGCAGAAACATGTTGTGGGTCAAGCCACCTCACACAGCGATGACCATGAGTGCACTGCTCAAATTAAGAGTCGTGTCATAAACCCCTTCCCAATCTGCCAAGTAGCCCGGCAAGATGGCAACCCTTGGTACCAGGCATAACGGTCCTCGGCACATGACAACTTCCGACACGGCTCACATTTTCTCAGAACCTGAAGACAATACTTGGCGATGGTGCTCTTGGCTGACTATGAAGAAAACCTGCAGCACGCCTTTTGCTGAGTGCCCCGTATTACCATGAAGAAAGCCGCTATCCCCCCCATGTAACGCTAAAAAACAGGCGATTGAACCCCATTTCATGGCATTTTGAGAGCATGAAGTGTCCTGTTTTCTTTGCGTGCCAACTACTCCTACTTCACTTGTTGTTGAGTGGCTGGAAGTAGTGGCCCTGACAGAGGCCCATGGCATTTCCGCATCCAAGTGGCCCGGATTCCACAGGAGATCTGTCATCTTCAGTCCTCAATCAGGCTGGGATGTACAAGCATATCCCAGGCTTTCCCGCGTCAAGGTACTGCCATGAGTTCGCTTGTCAGGGTGTTGCGTGCTGAGGGGGAAGGTGCACCTCCAGCCAAAGCTTACACAACATTGAAGTTCAGTTGTCTCAGAGTCTCAGGGGAGCAGGACTTGATTCGAGATGTTGCCCTGGGTTCTACAGGTCCTTTCGACGTGTGGAATCCCGTTTTGGGTGTATGTAGGTGTACTATTGAATCAAGCTTCAGCTGGTTGAGGCCAGTGATACGCAGCGTTTACATACGTGTTCACAGAGGCGTGGCACAACCACGCCAAAAGCGACTGATACATCTGCAGTCGCTGACTATCATGCAATGCTCGAGCTATGCTGCATGGGCTGAAGTGCACCCAAGCTTCATCTCGTAGTCCTGCTTGGTTAGTCTTGCGGTGCATGGGCAGGAGATGCCAAAAAATCCTCAGTTTAAAACACAATAGACGTGCGGACGCAAACGGTAACCCAAAAGATGCGCTGAACATGTCTCTTCACGGTTGGCACGCCCACTTGTGCGCCCTGCGGCGTGCACAGCTTTGAAGAAGCTCTGAGGACTTTCATGCTCTGCAGGCTGAAGTCTTGAATGCGCTGATTCTTGTACAAGTTTGGGTTTCGAGGCGAATCTGCTACTTCCTAAGACACACCGCTTACCATGCAATCGTCAAAGAAACTACTGTGTCTGCAGGTTCGGGTACATTCGGGAGTCTGAACCTTCCTGACGCGCACGTAAGCATGGTCCGGCGTGCAGCACCATCGGAACCATGGAGTCGTGCTGCAAAGCAAGTCGCACCAGCAAATTAAGGGCCGCTCTTTCTTCGCAGCGGTTCCTTTGCATGCTGACCCTGGCACAGAGCTTCGACGTCGCGGGCTGCCGTCGCCAGCTTCTCATAAGTCGTCGCTCTGGCAGCAGATGAGTCGGCTGAAGGCGCACTTAAGTCCCTGTGAGGATGTTCACTAAAAGCTCAGCCTCTTCTTCCTGAAGGCCAGAGCGACAGTCTGTACAAACCACACGGCCGTGCAAACTTTCATCCAACCCAGTCAGATCCAAGCAGTCCAGGATTGCCCACTCCTGGAGGTAAGTTGTGGCTGAGGTCGTGAGAACTTTTTCAGGCACCCCCAGCAAAGAACAAACGCCTGCCGTCCTCGACCCAAGTGTTGCTTTCCAGCCAAGAGCGAATTTCCAGCAGTTTCAGCTCTGCTCCCTCAAATCCTCAGCTGTGCGACGGGGGGCTTCTTGCGAAGTGAAATACTGTCGGCAACATGAGTCACAAGACAAAACTAGGCAACTCCCTGAACAGCACTTTTCTTTGATCAGATGGTTCAGAAGCCGACCACTTCAGGTGCCGTTGGCACGTTGCATTTCAAGTATTCTACAAATTTCAGCTGGTTCACCGAATAAAAGGAAACGCAAAGGCCACAGGGAAAGCTGAGCCAATGGAAGTCATGTTGCCACGACCTCGCCCATCTGGTGTCACCGCAAGTACAGCTTGTGCCCAGGGCACCCCTTCACGTGCCAGCGCAGAACTAAAGCGGCCGGCGTAGCGCTCATCCAACCTAGACACAGCTGAGCGCCTTTCTGGCTTGCACTGTTGCACAAGTCTTTTGGTACCCAACTGGACCACCAAAGCTTTCACACCGCAACCTGCGAAAGTTTAACGTGCAAAGCATAAACTCCTGAACCGTTTCTAGCACTCAAGTGTGTATGTTGACCGCGCGATCTGATCCTCCCCATGCCTCTGCCTCCATGCGACACGGACCCATGCTTCACATCCCAGAACCAATGCCAACCCCAAGACCCTGAGGCAGAAATCCAATTTGCGCGCCTCCAGGGACTTGTCAACACCACGCAGCTGGGGGCACGTTGCAGAACCCGTGCCAGTATCCGCAGCGGACCTGGAAGTGCTCGACCGCACCGCGAGGACCTCAGCTAAGGAGTGTGGAAACCATGTTCAATCTGATTCTGATAGGAGGACACATCAAGTCGTTCTCTGTAAGTTGCCTCCTTCGTTTCTGGAAGTCATGCGAAGAGTTCAATTCTGCTAGAAGTTTCACACGCAAGAGTTGTCGTGACTTCTCAAACAAGACGCATCACGGAGCAGACTTGAACCATTATCCACAAAGCCCAAACTGTGGCGTTTTCTGATTCTACCGGGCACTTGCAAAACGGGACAACAACTTTAAGAAGCTCTTCTGGCGGACACTGAGAAGCGATGAAGGTGTCTTTTGTCTGTTCAACACCCCATCAATGTTCAGAAACAGAACAGAGGAGACCTTGGACTGCATGGCCATGATCTCCGTCTGTTCCTGCATCTTCCTCTCGTGCCTCCGCAGCATCTCGGGCCTATCACAATCCCTGATGAAGTCGTTGTCAGACGTAGGCTGGAAAGCACGTGAAGGCTTCCACCTCTCAGTGAGTTCCGATTCAAAGTTGATTCGGTCCTGGTAGAACAAAGGCTCCTTGGGATGGTAGGCCTTCAGGTTGTGCTTTTGATATACTTGCTGGAACATCTTGTCACCATGGTTGTACATAGGCAGCGTGTGCTCTACCAGGAGCTCGGCCACCCTCTTGTTGACCTTAATCAGCTTGCTTACATGCCCAGGCTTGGAGGTGGGAGCAGTAAGTCTGGGAAAATCCGATCGTCTGAGTTGAAGCATGCCTTTAAGCATGTGGTGCAGGTTTCAAGCTCACATGGCCCAGCCACAAGATAGGCATGCCGGCCCAAAGCCTCCACGGAGCGGAAGACCTGACCACCGGAGTCCACAGCCTTTCGCGCCTGCAGGCGTGAACATGATAAAGCAGCTTGGCCGATGTCCGTGGAGGTGCTGTTGTCAAGCGGCTGCTAAAGGCAACGCACCACTTGCGGAAAACATGACGCAGCTTAGGCCATCACATGTCAAGGGTGCCCTGAAAGCCTGACACTGCATGTTTGCCTGGACCGCGGCATGGAGGTTTCAAGGCTGTTCTGCGCCTCCAGACTCTCTCGAACGAAGCCCAGGTGCAGGAGGTCGAAATCCGTCGGAACTCTCCTGAGTAGGTGGCACATGACGAGTGACGAGAAGTGATAAAACTGCCGTGCGCTAGCCATTGTTTCCGTAACAGGTGGAGTACCCTACAATCAACCTCATTGTAACTCAAGGCAGCAATCTGAAGCGCAACGGGCCGTGCTGCAGAAACATCATTATTGCCTGGCTTCGACAGGAAGTCGCGCAACTCTGCCGCCAGGGCTGGTTGGCCAGGCTCCAAGTCATCCTCGAAGATGAGGGCGTAGGCTTTCCTAGGCTGCACGGAACTTCACCTCTTCGGCCTTCCCTCTAACTATGAAAAACTGAAGCCGTCCTAACTGCATCCGCCTGCACTCTGCCAAGGCTCTCACTGGCGAGAAATCGCTGCAGTATATTCAGATGCCCCAAATGGCAGGCAACCTTGCCCTCTGGCATGTACTCCACATCCTGCCAAATGACATCCAGGTAGCCCTCCGTGATAACGCCGGAGGCAACCAAATCATCTAGATCCATCCTCAGCTGATGTGAGCCACTCTGAAGGCTGACTGCCACACCGCCCAGGCTTTGCCCCATGCAGCCCGGAGGCTCGCGCTTGTCCGGACCAGGAACAAAGACTGCATTGAAGCCCCATCGCTTCATCAGCTTCTGTGCATGCTTCAGTCGCGAGGGGATGCAAAGCACATAGACCTGTGTTTTGGACAGGATGCTCTCCTGACACAAGCTTGCACCAATAAGGCAAGGGCATAAAGAATGAAAGCACAGTCCTCCGAAAGTGTCTGCTCTCCTTTTCCTGGAGGCTGGACAGAAAGGGAGGACCACCTGCAAGGGGAGGCTCAAGCCAAGGACAGGAAGTGCCGTCGCATGAAGAAACTTTGACATACTTCGACCATCTGGCGGTGGGCTAGCCGCCTAGCCTCGGCATGTCCTCTGCAAAGGACCGGCGCCGCAAGCAATCCACACATTGGAAGGAGTGATGGTCCAGCTCACTGCAGGATACTACGTCCATGAAAGCTTCATTTTCCTGACGGCTCTCTTGTTGCACTGGTGCACTTGGACGAGGCCGGATATCTATGAATTTGTCAGGTTGGTCTCATGTTGGGTTACTGCTGCTGCTGCTTCTAGAGCTTGGCCTCAAGGAGGACTTTCGTCAAGATCAGGATTGCAACTTGCGGTGCAAAAGCTGCGGCGAGAACTAAGGTCTGCCATTCTGATCAGAGTCTTTCCACAAGCCAGTGGCGTAGCGTGACTGCTTGAATGTACTCTGCACCGCCAAAAGCTGCATGCAGCCAAGCATCTCATTACCTGGCACAAGTGGGGGTGCATGCTACCAAGCAGTGGAAAGTCAGGGGGAAGGCGCAAAGGAGACTAGACACAATCCTCCTCTTAAGCCAGGGCACACCGGCGAAGACATTGCCATCCATGCCTGAGGCAGTAGCATGTAAACGGGTCAGACTGAAGTGCTTGGCGGCTATGTGCAGCGCCAAGCCCTCCAAAAAGCAGTGATATCGCAGCAGCACAGAGTAAGGTTGTGGCCATCATGCGCGCGCTTGCATGAAAGCTGGCAGAAAATCTGTACGCAGTGCTGCGGGCCAAAATCACAAGCCGAACGTCACCTTCATATGTTTGTACTTGCTAGCTGCTAGAGCTTTCTGGTGTTTTGCTGTCCGCAGTGGCAGCTTCACTCACACACGCTTAGAAACAGACCGGCTAGGAAGCTAGGACATCCCACAAGCCCAAGAGGAGCATGGTCACGCCACGTGCAAAAATCAATGATCATCCTCTACAAAATTGATCTCACAGCTCCAATGCAGAACAAGGAAACCTCGTCAAACTTCTTCAGGAGTGAGGCCGTCCTCAAGACAAGAAAGATGGCCGTCCACAGCGGTTGTCACGTCATTCAAGTACATGGCTCCTACTGCGCTGAGCGAAGCCTTATGCTGAGCCTCTTGCGCTGGGCAATGCGAACAGTTGTCCTCAAACCAAAGCCAAGGCGAGTGTAAGCGTGAGCAAACGTGTGAGGGGGAGGGAGAGGGAGGCAGGAAGGGCAAAAGCAAGGTGATGAGTCAACATTAATGTTGGATGGGTCCTTTGGCGGAATTTTCTCCACCGTGTTGGAGCAAGTTGCAAACTCAAAGTTTGGCTTGTCCGAGTCTGTTTGCTTGCGGAATAACCTGAACTTGCTGCAAAAGGTTTATGCGGCCCAGCCACGATGCACTCATCCGAGTCCCCAAGAAGCACCACCTGCGCCAGCATGCGCCAGCAAGGTGACGACAGTGCATGCAAATGTCAACGACTTTGGGGGAGTCATACTCTAAACCTTTTCACACATAGACTCTGAACAAAGTCAAGACTTAGGACCTTCATGAATGGCCTGGAACACTTCCAACCCACATGTATGGAAGTGCTGATGTGGTTTCACAGCTCTTGTGCATGATGGGGCCAAGGATTAACAACCCACTGATGTGGACTGATCAAATTCCTTTCGCCTGCTTTCCACTGCGGGAGCTTTCTTTCGCATCAACAAGCACCAGCCAATCATCGCTTTCCATCCATTTGTTGAATATGAAGTTCTATTGAGACTACACTTTAGTCAGTCTATTTCCCGATATGAGCCATGGTCTGAACCCCTAGTATCCCCTTACTGACCCCTATAGTGGTCCCGTATATGATACCGCCTGTAAGGAGTGTAGACTACGGCTCATATCTCCCCAATGATAGCTTCAGGCCTCCTGCCATTCACCAGCAGCCACCAAATCTGCATCGTGGGACCTCAAACGCAACATTGGCCTTGCTCTCAATTTGGGCGGTGTTCACCAGATTTGCTGCTTAAAGCTCTGCTAACAGAATACGAAAAGCTCAGCTAATTGCGAATTTTGGTTGCCTCGGTGCGCTGTGCCGACTCCTCCCCACCTGCGCGCTTGACTTGAGTTCCTCGTAGCGGGTGTCATCTGCACGTAGCAGCATCTGCAATTCACCCAGGATGGCACCGCTGCCGGCTGTGCCAAGCCTGTAGCTTGGTCTAGCGCAAAGAGCCGCCAACTCACCTTGAATAACCTTAGCCAGTGAATGATGTGTGATCACATCTTGCGCTCCGTCGGTCTTTGCCCAACCCAGGGAGCAACTTGCGCAGCTCTCAGCCCCATCTCAGTGACATGCACAGGGACACCCTGAACTTACCACGATGTGGGACATACTTTGGAACTGGTATCCGGAAAGCATTGCAAACCAGAGGCTTTGCCGGCCTGAGGCTCTGAGCAAACCAAGCTTCAGCTTTCAATAGCGATGCTAATAAGTGCAATCTGCCACAAGGAGTCTGCGCAACTGCGAGTCAATGCCCGGAGCGCTGCAAATCGCTGCATGAATAAGGCAACTGGACATTGCCCCCCCACCCGGCCCCTGTTTCTTCCCTTTCAGTTCCGAGGCTGGCACGGCGACGTTGTCCTCCAGGCAGCGCACCAGCCTCGGAGAAGCTTGCAGTTCTTCCCCAAAACGCCATAAAACGGCTAACAATTTCACTGGCGCTTATGCACCCCTCCTCTCACCACTCTTAAACGAGCTGCTCAAACTTGTCTGGGTCGTACCATGGCTGAGACGTTACCTGATGCCAGTGATGTTGGTGTGCATGTCTGAATGTAGAAGCATGCTTTAATTGCGACCCATGCAAGGTCAATCCTGTTACCCAGCCTTTGGGTCTTCACCAGCATGGAAATGAAGTGGCCGCTGCCAGCAGCTAACCCAGTGGCCTCAACCGCTACCAGTAGCCATCAAGGAGGCTCGCCTATTGCCTAATATGGCCTTTGCCAATGGTAATCAAACATTACAAGACACCGGGATTCACTAAGCCTCGCCTGCTGTGTTGGTTTCAATAGTAGCATCCCACTGCAGGCCTCCATGCTGTACCAGCTTCTGTGCGACGCGCCTGACCGGCGGCTTGTGCATCAAAGCTGCGTAAAATCTGGCAAATCCAACAGCAGTCGGTGCCTACATCTCTCGAAGTCACGCAACGTGGTAGCTGCCTGGTCGAACTCCAGGTAGGCCTTGCAAGTTGGTTTGGATATGTTGGCGTGTGTCTCTCCGAGATTGACTGAACTTGTTATCCGGTCGGACAGATGATTCCGAAAGAGACTCGACGGAAAATGGCCTAGTTGCACCTATGGGTGGAATGTCGCATTTCACGTGCATGATGTAGCAGAGTAGGACAAGCAAGCTACCTGCATATGTAAGCGGCCGACACTTGGGGCACAGATGGAACCAAAAGGCTGCACCAGCAAAGCTGAAGCTGGAGATCTGGCTACAAGCTATCGCAACAGGTTTCCGTATTCTTGCTGCTTTGCTGAAATGCGACTTCTGACTATGACTTCGGTCGATATCCAAGGGCTGGATCGCTAGACCATCCCACGGCCTGAAACACCTGCAGAAATAGTTGCTGGAGCTTGGGTGGGTATGCTTCTTGCCAAGTTGTGGAATGAGCCTTTTGAACTGAAGTCTTCAGCATCGGGAGTTCGCAGCTTTCTGAAGTGTCGAGCTTGGTTCCAATGGCAAAAACACGAGTAACCTTTGCAGGTGACATTTAATTGCACTCTGCGTACTACGACGAAGGTTTTTTTTGCCCTTAGCAGGACCCAGGAGGTCGAGGTTAACCTGAACACCCGAAAAGAGTAGCAAACAGCAACCTACAGGGCAGCCTGCTTGAAGCCAGCATTCATGTTGATGGCCTCCTCCAGGAAATCTGCTGCCTGCTCGTGGCTTCACATGCAGATGGGCAGCCACTGTAAGACTCAACCGGGCCTCTGCGGGCTTGTTTAGCCTCGCTAAAGCGACACCTTTGAGGAATGGAAGCACCTGCAGTGTAAACGCTTCAAAGAACTCCTTGCCAATGTATGCAGTGATGCTCTGCACTGCATGCGGCTCGATCCCCTCAACTAGGAGAGCTGAGAGTCTGACTGGATCCGCCTTGGAAGGTACATGCAGGTACAACAGAAAGGCCGCAGATGCCGCAGTAGAAGTGATTGCATGATGACTTGCATGGGACTTGCAGCGAGAGCTGAAGCTCGGAGATGCTACGCAAGAGCTGATTTTTCCACATTCCACACTCTTTGGCAGACACTTTCTCGGGCCACATCAGATCTACGATAGACCCATTTCCTTCAGTCTTCCACTGGATTCTGGGACAGGACGTCCTGCATCACTCCTTTGCCAGCTTCCTTCTGGTGAACGCAATCTAGACCATGCGGCGATATGCGGCGCACACCCCACGTTTGCTTTGCTTCAAGCAGCGGGCAGCACTAGCCCAGTCGAGGAAGTGCGTCTTCTGGAAGGTACTTGAGCGTCTTCAGATCTTGCCGGCCTAGACGCTAATCGGTCCGCTGGTACCTGCATCAGGCACTCCACCCAGGATACAGGCACAGGTCTGCATGTGCGGTACCTTTGGGAATCCATCTTGGAACGAACTACCGAAGCTACAGTCCTGGACTGAGCAACAAATAGACACATATCGGAACTGATATTGGCGGCGTCGCCATTTTGAAATGTGCTCTCAACCACCAAGTAAAAAAAGCCGCGCCAGAATGAGGGCGCACTGCTTGCTTGATTGCTGCCACTGCCCAGACCATGGCCTCCGATCCTCGAACAAAGACGAGAAACATTCACTCGTCGCAAGCTGCTCAAACTAGCTGGAGCGGTATCTAGTTTGTCGATTTACCTATATTAAGTTCATATCGCCACGGCGACATCGTGTTGAGGCCTCGTCCCAGTTCCACGACCAGGAGCTGGATACCTCTCCAAAGCTGCCATGTCTACATGGCTTTTGTCCATACCCTGTGCGCCTGACGGTCGGTCTGCCATGGCCAATTCCAGTTTCCTTGCCAGCTGGAGCTGTAGCCCTGCCAGTTGTCCCAGGATTGACGACCTCCAGAGTGGGCTACTCCAACTATCTATTTTAGCAAATCATGGAAAGAGTCGCTGCTACCATACCAACACTCCAATGTCAGTGCTGCTCTGGGATTGCTTTTGCCTTGCCCACCTTGCCACCAAGATCTGTCTTCGGATTGCATAACGACGCTGCCTGCAGACCTGTGGGATGCAGTGCTTCTATGGTGTGGAGCTGGTTGGCCTTGCGGACCCTGGATGCTTGATCTCAATCCTCAAAGTTCTGCATCAACGTGGTCAGCCGAGCTGCTCCACGGGTGTACTTGGATGCTCGATCGCAAGTGCTCTCGTTGTGGGGGATAGCTCCTGATGCTCCGGGGAGCGTGCAACATTGCCTTCTTACTCTTCGTAAGCAGATGCGGCGACACGGCACTGTTTGCGACGAGTAGCAGCTTCCAACTCAACAGTAGTTGAGGGGTCCTGTCCCAACTCATGGAGCTGCAGACTGCTTGCGTCTGCAGGAGCCAATTCCAGTGAGGACTCTGTAGATCCTAGCCCGGGACCTGCCAGCAGCTCCCAAGATTGAATCCAAGACGTCCAGGTGGCTTCTACGCAGTTGAAAGGGCTGACGAAGCATTTTTCACCGAGGACTGCAATTGTGAATGCTGTAACTGGCTGATGCAGCCTGCATTGTCCAGAGACCCAACGTGGACCACCGTGGCGCGGCTGGCGGTGCCCGGTAGTGTGTGAACTACCTGACAGCATAGCTAGCCATAAACCACCACGTCTATCAGCTGCTGAGTCTTGGCAATAGATGAGGTGGATGCCTCGGCTTCACTGAGAGGGTACGCTGTGGGCACCTGTTCGCGACGAGCCGGCTGCGAAGGGATATATGCCTCCGCCCCGCCGAACTTCATGCACTCAGGCCTTGCAATTCACCAGACTGCGGCCATGTGATGGTATGGAAGTAAGTATAAGTAGTGTCATCCAAGCGGCATAGGCGTGGTGAACCTGATTCGAATTGACTGCGGGCTTCGGGGTGTACACAGCGTCAAACAGCTATCTGCCAATCCGATATCACTGTGCTTCCCGGGCACTCAGTGCGCCTTACAGCGGACTCCGGCAACCGCTGGTGCTTAGCCAGTGCCTCACGCGCAAAATTACTGAATAGCAGCCTTCTGCAACAAACAGAGAGCCGGGACGAATTGCATTCTAATTTACCAACGCTGTGAAGTACAATTCGCTGCTTCCAAGGAACAGGGTTATTGCGCAGGGCAGCTACTCGTGGGACCAGATCCTTTGCCTGCAGGCGAGTGGCAAGGCTGTTGCCTGCCTGACTAGCCGTTGCGTTCTGATGCTTGTGTCCTGTGTCTTGCAAGGAAAGAATCACACTGCTGAGTCGGTGGCCTTCTGAAGCAAAGCTTCACGGTCGCCGTTGTTCGTAACCACCTTCCCAGCCGACCCACGGTTGCTCATGCTGACCAGAGCCACGGTTGCCGTGGTAGCCAAGTGGCCGCATCCCAACCGTTCCAGTCATCCAGGGCTACCTGCACATGTGCTCACAAGCTGAAAGGTCCAACCAGCAACTTGACAGGAAGAGATGTGTGTTAATCACTGCGCAGATCTACCCATGCAGCAACAAGCTGCCAAGCACCTTGGCTTAGGGATATGGCAAACATCACAACCTGCCGACTTTCAATCCAGGTATTATGCATCTGCGCCTCTGTCCAGTGCTCGTCCCGCACAAGGTCTTCTGGAGCAAACTTGCTCTTCCACCCATTTGCCTGAAACTGCAAAGGCGGACAATCCCACCTCAAATGCTGCACACCAACCTAAATCTACCCGAGCCAACACCACCACGGTGCCTCGCGAACGCTTAATGGAGCTTCGATGCGGATGAAGAAGCAGGCAGCTGCCCACCTGCAGCCATGCACGCTCCAGCACAAAAGACCTCCGGATCAAAAAAGGTTTTGGTTTAGGGTCAAGGGCTTCGGACCCTACACCCTAGACTCTAAACCCTAAACCCGGCATGTCGGGTGTCAGCTCTGAAGGTGCCTCACGTAGCGATTGAGGGCCTCCTGTGAGCACAGCCCGTCGCGAGGAATGAGCACCTGTGATACGCAGGCAAACTGGAAAGTCAACGTAAGAAGGAACAAGCCAGGACTTCTAATGAAAGTCTTCCATCATCATGCCAAGCGGGGCATGCCCCATACCATGCCATGGAGTGCTGAAAAAATCCAAGCGGCAACGCCATCCGGCAACAATGGCTTCAGCAACTCATGAAACTCTGCAACACCAGAGTATCCTCAGTGAATTCAGGGACCCGTTGCAAACAGGTTGCAAATACAGCCCAAACTTTTCAGGCTTTGTGCAGCTGGCTAGTTGAGTCCAGGCACTCTTGCCTGACAGGCCGCATACGACCAGGCTGCTGTGGCACGACGCGGGCAACTGCAGCGGCATGAGCCGACAGGGCCGCTGGAACGCCCATGGCAGCGTTGAGCTAAATACTTCAACAGCACGAGTAAAGAAAGATGTCTTCGACTGGCAAGATGTAAAGGCTGGCAGTTCTCATCAGGTAAGTTGGCGGTAAAATGGCTGCCAGCCAACTCAGAAAGAGAGAGACAGCTGAGGAGTGCGCGTGGAAGGCAAATGATGCAAGCGAGGCTGCCATGTGTCTTTTGCTATGCAGTTCATGGCAGAGCTGAAGCCTCTGCAAATTCGGCCCACTGAGGCCCTGTACAGGATCAGACTGTACGAATGATGAGGTCCAGAACATTGTTGAACTGCGTCTGCTTGCTGTCAAGCTGACATCTGCGAAGACAAGGCCAGAACTGGCAAACATGATCCGATCCTCTGCGGTGGCACCTTAGAGTCGGAAGTGCTGCTCCTGTTTCGAAGGCGCAGCTTTGATCTTGACCCAAAGGATACCTCGGAGGCGACAAAGGACCCGAGACTCAACGGACTCGTCTCACCGCCTTCTGCCTGCATGACCTCTGCTGTGGCCTCTGTACACGATGGCTCCGGTTCCTCAGGCATATCTTCGCCCTGGCATCGGACAGCCATCATGACCACGCTTGCGAGCATGCACCCTGCTCCAAATAGCTTCAACGCCGTGGGGGCGTCATCAAAGAGGACTGTCTGCGCGATATACCCAGAGACCATGCTGGAAGATGTGAATACGGTTGCGCTGACTGCAGCTGGACATCTTGTGGCACCTGCTGCGGGTAGCACAATCGAGAACAAGCACCAGACGGTCAGGATGGAAAGCAGCCCAAGTGCAAGCCAGGGTTGTGTCCTGACCGTGTCCAAGGCATCTTGTGGGGTGGAATCAGTGATCCCCAAGGCAGGTGGCACGAAGGCCAAGAGCACCGCAAAGGACAAGGAGACAATGGTTAGCAAGGAGACGGGTATGTGGGCAGACTTCCGTGCACAGACAAAAGCAGAAGCTTGGAAGCATCCTGACAGCATTGCCATGCAGTATCCCAAAGGCGACTGCTCTGCTCCGTCAGGGGCTCCAAACAGAAACTGCGGCTGCGAAATGCAAATCGCACCAGTGACCGATGCAATGAGCGCCACGAGGTGAACAATCGTCATCTTCTCGCCAAGGAAGATGAGACCCAGAAGAGCTGCTGCAATGATGTCAATGCTGGTAAGTGCTGCCACATCGCCAGGCGTAGCTCCTATAAGTACAGCCCAAATGGCCAACATCCAGTGCAAGTTCTCAAAGAGTGCCCGTGCCATCACCCATTTGACATCCTGCCGCTTTGGGCACCCGACTCCTTGCCACCGCAAGACAAGCCCGTTCGCGGAACCTGCTAGCAGACAGCATGCCGCTAGCAAGTACCAATATGGCCAGTGCATCCCCTCAATGATTTTACTCGTGACCATCTCGCATGTCACCGAAAACCCCGAGCCAGCCATGAGCAGGATGCCGATCATCTCTGTAGAGATGGCCATGCTTCTATGGCTCGAAAGCACGATCGTTCCCACGAAGGGATTGACAATCAGATAATCGACGGGCTTGAGTTCAAGCAAACTGCGGTGCAAGCGAAGAGGAATACCATCAGCAGTAAGTAGCAGCCAAGAACGGAAGATATGGAAACAGCGGTTCAGGCATGACTCTGCTCCATGTGGCGAACAACAAGCAGAGGCAAACACCCATTGCCCGCCGTCGACTTCAAAGGCTTTGCTGCCTGCCAAGCATCCCATTTGCGGAAACACGAAGCTCAGTGCATGTTCCAGCGATGGAAACACGAAGGGGCTACCAGCTTGAACGATTGTGTCCCAGGAGCCCTTCTTCCGGAGGATTTGCATGACCTCAGCAAAAACAATCTCTTGTTAACTTGGGATCAATCTACAGATTTTTTTATGCAAGATGTTCAGCCACATCTGCTGAGCCTGTACCGTCTTTCATACCGATGTATGTATTCCCAGCACATGTTGCCGGAATGGCGTCTCCCAGCAAGAGAGGCTGTGGTTCTTAGCGACCTGCCACCAGGATGGCGGAAAGCTGGTCGGCAACCTCGACTCCTGGATAGGGACAGGCAGCATCTGCCCTTGGATCTTGCGGATGCAGGAACCTAGATGACGTGCTCCGAACGGCGCAAAAAGTAATTACACCGGCCCAACATATCTTCGACGTCAGACTGCCAGATATGTAAACTGGAGCAGTAAGAGTTAGCCAAAAGGCACAAGGGTGTGAAAGAAAGGTGCGGTTTCGCCTCCATTCGAATACATGACCCGCAGCAGGGGGTCAAGCGCTTTCTCGTCCTCGTGCAGCATGTGCCAACCTTCATGGATCCAATGATCTGCCACGCCATGCAAGAGTTCAGCTCAACATGAGATGACACTTGTGACCAGCTAAGCGCAACAGAATTCAAGGTACCACAAATCTTGCCTGTCTACCTTTGAGCTGTCTACATCTTGGCGAGGAGCTCGCTACCCATGCGCCAATTACTTTTCGACCCAGACCCTCAACTTTATAGTAGTCTCCATTTTATTTTCCATTATCCTAATATAACCCCAACATACTATATAACATCTAACTCGGGCAGGAACTAGACTGGCTGGAGCTACCCTTCGAGGGGAAGTTAAGGATGTTATCCCAATAATGGAGAATCAAAATGAAATGGAGGGCCTGGGTTAGGTAAGTATCTTGCGAAAGTCCCGTGTTTATCTACGATGGTAATTATAAGGGACTGTGGGGACATTACCTGGTGATAATCTAGGCTTTTTCCCTGCCTGCAACCCCCAGACCGAAGAAACTACTAGATACTCCCAGCTTCCAGTGAATTTGGCTTTTCTTCATTTGATTAGTCATGACTGGGTGATATCCTAAACCCTACATAGTCTCTAAATCGACCATCAACCCTGTTTAGTTCAATAGCTAGGGCTGGTACCACAGCCAAGCATCATGTCTGCCTTTGCACCTGGGCAGGGCACTAGGCATGCTGGTATCACTGGCAAGATTAGTGAATTCTCGCTTCTACTAGCACTGTGTCTAATTCCTGTTGAGATTGCGGTTGGTATTGCGCTATGGACGACTTAAGCCAGAGCGGCGCTCCAGCTCCGGTAGCTGCTCGTGCATAGCAGTGACCTTGACACAGGTTGGAGCTTGAACGTGCTACATTGAACATCAAATCCACATTTAGATGGCCCCACTTTTTAAGCTCAGCACTATCTCCTGCATCCGCTAACCCTTAATTACCAAGACACATGTGGGGCCAAGCTTTGGCTAGAGTTGTACCACGCACGGCCGCTCCAAACTTTCTCAGGGTGCTGCCTCTTTCAGCAGTCCAGGTACCACTGAAAAGTCAGGTGCGGGCCTCAGAGCCCAAACGAGATTCGATGCGGACTGACTCTTTCCATGCACTGTGCAACCGCCATGGAAACAAACCATCTGAGACCATCGCCCCTTGCCCATGCAAGCATTGCAGTGCTGCGTTGCCAAGGAGTCCTGCTTGTGTGCGGGTGCTCGTTGGACAATGGACTTCATGATTGATGAACACTGGGTGTTAAATTCTACTTGCAGCATCTTGTAGCCATAGTCAGGGCCATCGGAGGGGACTTCAAGTTGGGCTATAACTCCAAGTAGGAGCAGATACTACCAAGCATTAGCTTTCAACATCCTTCGAGTACCCACCTGCCACATATTTCTTCAGTTGTGCCAAGCATCTATGGAGAAGGAAACAGAATCAACGTATGGAGCCCTTGTCACACATCTGCTTGTAATTGAGGTCCTGCCTTCTAACCCTACCTACTTATAAACCATCCTGCGAGCGTCACTTCCACATATAAATATGTATGTTCAGCCCTTTAACGCTGTACGTGCAACCCCATCTAACAGACCGTGTAGAAGTTACTGTACTTGTAAGCCCCCTACCTAACTGAACATAACACTCCAACAAAGAGGAATATGATAAAGTCGCTTAGGATTATTACATAAAATCAAAAGCATTCCGAATATGACTGAATTCCTCTTTTCCCACTACTAGAAGCAGGTTACGCCATGTTACACCATGTCATGTCAACATGAGCTATAGTCTTAACTCCTAGCATCCCCCTTAATAACCCCTATAGTGCTCCCTTACATGATCCCCTATATGACCCCCTTCAAGGAATTAAAGCTATGGCTCATGTTGTGTCAACATGGCCAGCCACCAACTCCGCCCGGATCTCGACCAATTTGGCTGCTTGCCTTTGCATCAGAATGGCCGTGGACAGATGATACCTTTAGCCAACTGAGCTATAGTCTTACCTCCTTAATTCGAAGCTATATAAGTATATAGGGGACTATATAGTAGTGGTTAATCTAGAAAAAGGGTTATCAAGGGGGAAATTGGGGTTGAGACTATAGCTCAGATGGCATGCTGTACAAGATTTCCTCCCCAGGATATGTGATGCAGCACCCGGCAGTCCTTACAGTCATACTGTTGCTCAGTTTACTTGAAGTACATGGGAATCCCAAAATAAACCCTATTATGCTATAGCGGTTTTCATTTTCTTGCCCCTGATCCCTACACAACCCCAATGTATACCCTATTACACGATAGCGGTTTTCCATTTCCTTTTCCAATATCCCTATACAACCCCAATATGTATCCCAAAATACTATAGTGGTTTCCATTTTCTTCTCCATTATCCCTATATAACCCCAACACATACACTAATCTACTGTAGCGGTTTCCATTTTTTCCATCATCCCTATATAACCCCAGTATATACAGGACCCTAATATATAATAGTAGCCTACAGCTGCAACGTCGCCCTCAAAGGAGCCTTGTCTCTTTACAGGCAGGATCCAGGATGGTGTTGCCTCAAATACTATATCATAATATATAGCAGTACATTATGGTTTTCGTGTGTATATTATTTATACTACAGTATATTATAACAGTATTTTGGGTTATGTTATAGTATATTATAGTCACCAGCTCACCTTGATGTTTCTGCTTGGGATCCTTAGATCTTACCTATTTGCCACTGCTGTCATTGATGAGCAGCTCGCCTGGCATGTTCCGGGTTGACCTCGAGCAGCGTCATGGCTCAGAAGCTCCAATTTCCGGCGGTGTCTTGTTGTTGTTTGTGAAGTTTGGTGGACTAGATGAACAATCAGACTACATGGTATAATATGCCCCAGTCTACTATTATAATATACCCCAATAAATTACAATATACCCCAACATACTATATTATACCACCATATTACAATATACCCCAATATACTATAACATACTCCAATATACTATAAAATAGCCCAATATGTTATCATAACATCCTAGGTTGTTTGGCATTGTTTGCAGCAGACCCAGAGCTGATGGCAGAAGTCGTCGCCGTCAGAGCTTGCTTTCAGGAGATTTCGAGCAACACAATGGGAGTCCCAATGAAAGCCCTATTTATGCTGCAGTGGCTTCCATGTTCTTTTCCACTATCCATATAACCCCAATATATACCCTATTATACTATAGCGGTTACCAAACGCCTAGTTGCTGGAAACTCCCTTCTGCGCATGGGAAAGCCTTTGCAATGCCATGGTCCTTTCTCCTCCAAGACAGTCTGGCTGTCAGACAGGAAAGCGCTTGTGTTCCGGCTTCAATATTGCTTCTGCTTAGATGTGCAGCCAGCACCTTCCTGTCTGCTACATGAGGTCGCCAACATGAGCTTGGAGATGCCCCTAGGATTTGGATAGGCCGGTGGTTTTAAATATGTGCTATAGTCTTCACTCCTTAAAGGAGGTTATATAGGGAACTATTATAGGGGTTCTTCAGGGGGATACTAGGAGTTTAGACAAGGGCTCATATCTACCACTTCTTTGACCAGCTTTCTTTGCAGCCCGAGTTTCCAAATCCAGATCCAGGAGCTTGGCAATTGGGTGAGAACATGCATCCACTGCTGACAGGCCCATGCTAGCATCACGGAAATCTTGCACATTGCTACCCAAACAATGACGCAACGAACCTGTCACCAATTGGAACGGTAAGCTAATCTGCTAGAGGAGTGCCTTGCATGATCACATCGTGTTCATGCTGGCTTCTACATGTCTGCGATGTCGCGCAGCCATAGATGTACAGGAACTTTCATTGATTGCCATGTAAGTACACTCCTCATCCCCTGCTGCGAGACGCTTCTTTGCAGGCGATGCCGGTGCCACACTCTTTTGTGACTGCTAAAGTCTGCTACATGCGTTGAAGACATTCTGCGGTGCCCTCTCCCCCCTCTATGCCGCTGGAAGCATCACGCAGGCAAGAGGTATCCTACTGGCAGCTGAATTCTGTACCAGCGTGCAGAAGACAACGTGTCACTGGCAGTGTAAGATTCACTTGTTGTCTGCATGAAGTGGAAAGCCTGTTATCATTGAAGTCTTGCAGTCTTGAACGGTAATTTCAGTACTCTCTCGGCCATAGCTCCATGCATTTCCTTCAGCTTCCAAGCTATGTCATCACACTGAGAGTGCAGTATACGGTAGATTCTGGAAAGCATGAGCATCAACTTTCATCCTTCCCTTTCTAGCTGCCCTCTAGCTCATATCCCGCTCGGATGATACGCGCTGAACCCCGTTCACTCACGTGTCAGCAGCGTCCTCAGTCCTGGCTCCGTGTCATTTTGCATGATACGTCAAGATTCCCACCCTAGCACGGATCTATGTTGACTGTTGCAGGGCATGGGCACGAGCAACTACAACGGGTGATTCTGGAAGTGCAACAGAAGCAGCACTGACGAGACGAAGGTCTGAACGACTGCAGGTTGGCGGCACAGCTGCGGATGTTGGGAAGCACATCCTTTGTTAACAATTGTGCAGAAGCCCTGCACTTGCAGCATCTCTATTTGGCAAGCACAGCAGAACACGGAATAAGTTCACCCTGGCCTGAGGCAGCTGACAAAAGAGTGTTCTAGGCACCACTGGAACATCTCCCCAACTCTGCAACTGTTGTGAGTACACTTCAGTTCACGCGGCCACTTTCCTATGAGCCCGGCAACCGCGCTAAGTCATTTCAGCACACACGCTTCCTGCCTGAACACTTAGAAACTAGGAGGCGGCATTGTTAATGCATCTGAGCTTATCCAAAACCAAGCTCGGCATTGAAATCCTTCATCCCAGGAACTTGACGACTAGCCTGTGAACATCCTGACGTGTGCCTCCGCATGCCATGCTATCACCTGCCGACAGCCACTCATGCCCAGGGAAACAACGGCTTCCAATTCGATCACAAGGATTTGGTAGCCATACTGAAAAACGCACATTTCATTTGCGTGGACTGCCCTGTCAGTAGCAGCACGTTGAAAGTGAATATTGGGTTTAGAGTAGATAAAGCCCCATATGTTGGGGCTGTTCCCTCAGGTCCAAGTTGTGGACTTATTGAATGAAGCCGTTGAATGCGAATCTGCTATTTCAGGAACACGCAGGCAGCGCCAAGCTCTCCGAGCACCACTGCTCGTAACCTTGGCAGCTGCTTTTCAACCGAGACGCATCTAGAGTGGTGTCATCTGGGATAGTGTCAAAAAAGGTGCCAAGCCTTCTCACCCCTGGCACAAGCGACCGCTTTACTCCTCCGCCGTTTGTGGTTTAGAATTTGGAGAGAACAAAGCGCGAGTCTTGCGCCGCACTCAGGTTGGCTTAGCCAGGTTAACTAAGTGCGCCTCGGCATTGTTCATTGCTCATACCCCCGAACTGATTCCGACAGATCGGAGAGAGCCAGCAACCTGTGAAGCGTGATGAGAGACCCCAACTTCTCCAGATTGCGGTACATGACCTCTCTGATCACTGGGCTTCATCACGTCTCACCAACTAAAACATTCACCGGCAAATTGAAATTTGCAGATGTGCCCCTGGCAAACCAGGAAGCGGACCCAGAACGAAGCATACAGAAAGATACTTTGTGAATACACTTGCCGCTGCTTGCCGTCTAGGCCCCCCACTGAAACACATGTAAACGTCAATGCAATAACTTGGCCCAGTTCCAAATGGCTCGAAACTCAAAACATGGCTTCAAAACTTTGGCTTGGGCTGTCCCCAGTCATGGCAGCCGCTTGAGTAGCTTCATTTGCGTCTGCATGTTGTGCACATCGTCGACCAGGCTCACCAAGCTTTCCTTCATGAACCTCGCGGCGATGCTTGCAAATGGTGACTGCTATCAGAAGTACGCGAGGTGCTACAAGTCATTTCGCAGTCGCCCCTCGTATACACGATGCTGACCCCCATCCACCCGACTGAGTCTATGTGCCGGCTATCTTCTGACGCCTCGAATGCAATTTAAAGCTCTCTTACAAATCTGCCCAGATTGGGTTCATTTGCATTTTACATGTCAGACAAGTGGTTGGCTTTGCTTACCCGAGCAGAACAGCCCTATCAAACACTTCAATCAAGCACTTCAAGCAATTGTCTAGCTGCTGGTGGAGGAACCGCTGCACTGCGCATGACAGCTTAGATGGGGGTTCCTCAACAGCGGGGTGTCTTCAGGGGCCCTAGGATGATAAGGGATTACAAGGGACTCATGAGTATCCGTAAGGATTATGTAGAGAAAAGTGTCCGGGACCATGTCTGGCAGAGTACAGAAAATGATCGGAATTTCCCTGGTGACCACAACTTGTTCAGCAACTCTTGCTTGGAATGATGGAACGAAGGTAGCAACCTTTCACAACACCACGTCACTCCGCAGTAGTACTAACAGCAGCATAAGCAGTAGCTGCATCGTGTGCGTTGTTGGTAGCAATGGTGATGAGTGCAGCAGTCGGCTCTATTGCGCCGTTGGCTGTTGTCAGTGTCGACGGTGTTTACTGTGGCATTGCTTGGTGGAAAATAGGGCTTGCTCCGTTTCCGAAGTGTGGATCTTGTGGGACCGTGTTCTTGCTAGGTTCCTTTGTCTGTTTGGTGTTTTGGCTGTTGCCGCGTACTCTCTTTCCATTTGGGGGGTTGTGTATAGTCTTTGGCTTGCGGATAAGCCAGTTGATTGTTTGTTGTGGTGTCTCAACGCGTTTGGTTACTGTATGCGTAAGCGGTGCTATGCTTCAGCCGCTCGGAGACGTGAACAAATATTGCCATGGTTAGATCTGGTCAGACTTGGCAGGGATGAAGCTTCAACCACTGCACCAGCGCATCGCGGGGCTGCTTGACGCATCAGGACTTAGAGTCATCGTGCGCAGCCCCCCGAGAATATCTAAGTCCATATTCTGATAAGGGCTCGTGACAGCGATGCATTTGTCTTAAAGAAATACATGAAAGCAATCAAGAACACAAGCAAGAGCTGGAAGGCAAACAGGGCAACGAGGGACAGCAACGGCGAACACAAGCAACCTCCGAACAAAAACAGAAGCCTGTGATCACGCAGGCACAAGTGCAGCATTACAACGACAAGGAGATGAATGCAATCAAAAGAAGGGAAAAGACAGCATTGGATGCTTCGGAGCTCCGTCGGCCAAACAGGACCCAGCAAACAAGCCTCGACCGAAGACCAAACCCAAGAAGAAAGCAGCCGCATGCAGACGCGGCAAGCTGAGCAAGCGACCAAGCAGTCGCCGCGCAATGCGTGCGCAACATCATCGCAAAGCCCTATAGTCCAGGCCTCACTTCGGCTTGCATCATCTTTGCTTCCAGATGCGTTGCTTCGCCGTGAAGATGGTAACACCCATGAAGAAACTCCTGCACCGGCTTTTCTAGGCCGAGAGACAGATACAAATGGTAGCATTGGGTGCTTTGAATAGTAATAATAGCAGTAACAAATACCATGATAATAGTACTAAGAACAAATGGACTTCAAGCTTGCCTCTGCTCCCTACAAGTGCCAAAAGCTGCTGTCGCAGTGGCAGGGGCTTCCTCCAGGTCGATTGCGCCCGACTGGTCGAAGTCCAGCAGGTCAAACAAAGTAGCTGCCTGGGACAGTACCCGGGGGGGGGGGGGGGGGGGGGNNCGTGGGGTGGGGTTTATGGTTCGTCAACTGCTGCCACTAGTCCTCCAAGCAATGCAGATCCTTGCAAGTCTTGCTTTGGTGTCGAGTCACGTCTGGGACGTCGATCTTCAAAGAGGAGAAGTATGCAAGAATAGTCTCCTGGTCGAAATCAATCTCAAACATCCTACCAATCTTTGTCGCATCCGCCCCCTCCAGCAAAACTCTACTACTTCATGTTCGCCATTCCGCAGCTTAAAGCTAAGTCCAGCCAAGTTTCGTGCTTGAACGCTTGCTGCAGCACCTGGCGGCATGCTGAAGTCTATGGCTCCTGTAGTTTGGGCACACTTCCGTTAGAAATTCAACATCTTCAACACCGGGGCACTCAAATACTACTAGCTCGGGTTGCCAAAGCCCTTTCATAACTTCGTCAAGGTCTGTCACTGACAATCTTTGTTCAGAAGCTACACTTTCAACAAATTCAACAAAGATTGCAGCTACCTGCCAGGATCCCACCATTTGTCCTGATACTTAAGCCTCCGCACACAGCAGAATCACCACTCCTTCATGTCGAGCAAAAATAGGTCATAATAGCATCATGGAACCATTACGCACAAGTTTGAGGGGCTAGCAAGCATGAAAGTTGCTCACACGATCCATGAAGCCCCTTGCCCTCTTGTCACCTCGCGCGTGATGCGGCCCTCAGAGTCCTCATCAATTGCCTGGAAGAGCTGACGGAGCTGCTGCAGGTAATCCTTGCAAGTGATGAGCAAACACTACGCTGACTAACCGGACTTCGCTGACTTCACCTTCTAGATCACGTTCACCTGGAAAAGGCTTGTCAGTTCATATTTGACCCGAAACATGTCTACATATCCGCATGAACAGCCTTGCTTCTAGCCGTCGATCGCCAAACGCTTTCCGAAAACAAGCCAGCGCCCGAAAGGCAGCTTGTTGTCCCAAGTGTTGGGATTGAGCGTATATTGTCTCAGGCCTCAAAAAAAATTGAGGCATTCTTTGGCCGCTCAGGGCTGCAGGACTACTTTCTTTCGAAGCAGCTTTCGTTGATTCTCTTTGGCCTTTTCAGCATGGACTGGCGGGAGCAGTTCCGGCTGTCTTTCCGACATTGCTTGTCATTTAGGGTCTCTTGGAGTCTGCCACTGGCTTGATGGCTTGTGGTGGACGACTGTTTGTTGAAAACCCCTTCATCTGGCGGCAGGCAGGCATGCAATTTATGCGGCTTCCGCATTACAGTCCTTGCGGCCGCCTGCTGAAAACTGCTGAAACAGATTCCCGTTCAGCACCCGCGCTGGGCAAAGTAAAACGGAACCAGCCAAATGACACGTCCTCTGTGATGGTTTCCTCCTAGCTTTGAATACTAAGCTGACTACCAAAACTTCCGGCTCTGAACGCAGGCACTTGGGCCCGCAATGGGGTCATTTAATACATTCCATCTTGGCACGGTGTGCGGTGAGGAGGAATTCCGCACAAATCCTCTATTGGCATTAGTGGGCGAAGATGCAGAACTAGTAATAGTAGCAGCAGCTGCAGTCTTGTTATGCGGAGTAGTGCTATTAAGGCAGTATTTGTAGTAGCGTTGCTTGTAGGCATGCTAGTCCTAGGTCCTAGTAAGTAGCAAAGGAGCAGGAGCAGCAGCAGCTGCAGCAACAGCAGTAGCCATCATCGTCGTCGTAGCCGCGGTCGCAGCAGCGATGTTGGGGGTCGTGGCCGTAGCGTGGCGGGGGCTCGGGGTGGCAGAAGTGGGGAGGGGGGGGGCATTATGTTGCTACATCTACGACCGCCCCCAGGTGGTAGGCATCACGACTATAAACAACTACAGCAAACAGGGTGACAGCGCCAACTACCTTGCATGATTGAAGCAGGTCAGCCAGGTATCTCTCTTTTGCTCCAGCTCCTCCTGCACAACAACCTCACGATCATTTTTGCTGGACTGGAGCGCTGTATCAACGAATACGCCAGTCACGATATTGACCTTGGAAAAGTGATAGGTTCATGACTGCATCTGGTAAACTTATGAAGCTGTCGTCGCGTTTGCCGCAAATAAGACTTACGCCGGTACATCAGGTTTAATCAAACTCCATACAGCTCACGGCAAGGAAAAGTGCTGAAGTTGAAGCCAAGTCTCAACAGCAAATAACGCAAAAGTGATATAAAGGATGTAGAGCAAACACCAGAACTCTCCTCCCCTCATCGAAGCCAAAGACTCATAGTAAACACTCCAGTTCTGTCCACCTGACATCGCCATGTAGAGCGTGAGTATGGAGACATCCAAAGTGCCGAAGTACCGCTGGAGGGTGATGTTCTCTGACTGCTTTCTCATTTCAAGCGTGTCGAGGTAACTCACGACCGCCGAGGTGAAGGCAATGCCGAACATGTAGAATAACACAAATAAGAAGAAAATTATCCAAATGACTGACCTCAACGAGTTTACAGTGCTGAAGATCATCATGCGGAGCTCGCGGAAGAAACGCATAATCCGAATCACCTGAGCTAGCCTAGCATGTCAGACATGAGGTTCCGATGCGTCTGGTACTAATAATATACCAAACAAATGGGCTCGCAAGAGTAGTGCAGTCCTGCTGCTCTCAAAATGTATCAGCCAACGTTTGCGTAGGCTGTGGACTAGTGTGTTACATCTCATGGATATTTGTGAACATGTTCCATATTGTGTAGAATCTCTATCTAGCGTATGGCCGAGCATGTCTTGGCTCAAACCAGCCAGGGTGCGCGGACGACACGCACGATGCGCACCACTCTCAGCACCCTCATGACGGTGAATGTTCGCAGGGGGGTCTTCTCCTCCAGCCCAATGGCCAGCATCACAATTTCCGCTGAGGCATCAACTATGCCAATGAGCACGCACACAATGTCGAGAACGTTCCTCAGAAACGCACGGGACAGGCAAAACCATTGTGGCTTGATGGCTTCTGAGTGAAAATCCATATTGCCGCTTTCCGCGCGTCGAACCCTCTAGTACATACCAATTGAAACGCCAGCAGCATATTAAATACCCTCGGTTGCATTTGAAGGGCTTCCGTGAGGCCATTTTTTGGGGGCCGGGGTCGGTGGGGGGTCGTCGCAAAAGCTGCCCTCTGATTCGTACCTTACGGGGCATGGGCGCAGGCCCGCTCTTTGTTGCCAAGCATTTTGGCATGCCCCAGACGCACTGCGGCTGCAGTTATGGTTTGCCCCAGTCTTTCCAAAGCTAAGGAGCCACACGAGGTCGGCTGACTTGAAGAAGTCTAAGAAACCTTCCGCTGACCAGCGCACGAGCAGTTCGGCAAGGAAGCAGGCCGTGAAGCAGACCTGCCGGCAGTGTCAGGAACTGTTTAACCTGAACCCGCAAGGTCCGGGACAAGCTGACAAAAAGATGCAGCGAAATCTGCCCACTTTAGGTCTTCTGCTGTACCCTTAATGATTCGGTTGAGTAGGTGATGATGGCTGCGACAGTCTTAGCTGTGCATCGCCAGCAGTGTCTGGCCATGCCTGCAAGACCAGGACTTCCGCGGATGTCCTCCTGATCAACAAGCCGAGCTTTGTTATGAGCACTTTGGGAAACTGAGGATGAAGTACTTGGTGTGCCTTTCAAGGGTGGCTCTTCTGCCACTACGCAGTTCCTATTACGTCTAAATTGAAAGTCCCTCGTAACGACGGCAAAACTAATGTTCCATCTTGTTGTTGGGAACCTGTTTAGGATGATGACCTGAAAATCCTGCACAGACCTTCTGTGAAACGCACATGCATCTGCGTTCCACAAATAGTGCACGTTTCTTTGGGGGCCTTGCACTTTGCAAACAGCACGCAACCAGCTCAACACCTGCTACTTGTACTAGCATCGCCAAGTTGCACAATGGGATCCAGGTCCAAGTTAACCTGTTCGATCGCATGGGAGGCCAGCATTTGAGTATGCCACCCAATAAAGATGCAGTTGAAGAGGATCAAGCACCCACTGAACCATTCCTCGGTCTCAGTTCAAGAAACGCCTCGTGGCGGCTTGTCAAGAACAAATTCCAAACACGTGCTACGAAATTTGTCACGACTCGAAGCACTTGCTCCGGACCATCCGCTCTGTCCAGCTGGCCTGTGGAGAAAAGAACAAACCACCAGCAAACAAAGATCTGCCTGAGCCTACCTACGCCTTCCAGGCCGACTTTGTACCGGCTGCTTCTGCAACAGTTGAGGGCATCTTGCCCGTGCCTCGTGCATGATCTTGCTGAGCCGCGACTGCGACCTGAGGATCATTTACGAAGGACTGATTCAGCTTCGCAGGAAGTCGGCAGGAGCCCGAAGCAAGTAAGCAAGGCAACACAGGCATGCAGATAAGTGGCATGAAATTCAAGTTTCGCTCGGCATTCTTCCAGCGCATATGGCGCCTGACATAATTTTGAATGACAGCCGCGCCGTGGGTGTCCACTGCAGGTGAATGGCGAAACTGCTCAGAAGGCCACGCGCCCTACAAGAGACAGCTTTCTTGCAGTGAGCGGAGTTCTTGAGGCAGTGCAAAGAGTGCAAAAAAAATGCTGAGCCCACCTCTGCCTAGACGACATGCGGCGTATCTGGTCATCATCATTCTGTTCATGTCCTTCAGGATACAAGACCAGACAACAATTACGGGTGCGAATGGTATTCGCATGTATTCGCATGCCAGTAAGTTCGTAGCGGTCTTGGCACGCAGTCTCGGCCGGTCTCGTTTCAACCCACAACCCGTTGTCCTGACGGCTTCTCTGGCATGAATTCCGCGAGGGGTGCGTACACGGAGGGGCGGCGCTCGGAGACGTGGTGTTCAGCCTCGCGGTCCTCCGTCACTCTCAGGACTTCTACCAAATTGCATGTGAGCACTTCAGATTCGATGTGCTCGCTTGGATGCGTTGACGATCGTTTTTGACATTGCTGCTCTGCGTCTTCCTTCCCGAGGAGAAGGATGCCAAGGCAGATTTACTCAGAAGCGTGACTAGTGGCAAGTCCTCCACCTCCCCAGGCGGTGCACATGTGGGCGGATCCGGCTGCTTGATGGCTGCTGGAGGTGCTGGGGTTGCCACTCCTGAGCAAGAGGACTCCACAGCGCTTGGCGCCAAAAGACAGGCTTGGGTAGACAGATTTTCTACTGAGAACTTAAGAAGCTTGTCTAATCAAGCCAAATCTTCGGCTGGCATCACCGCTGCCGTGGACGAAGTTCTGAAAACCTGAGATTCTCATCCGAGCTTGCCAGAACAGTTGCATGAAGATCATGACGGATGATGTGCACTCACGGGATACTCACGGGCTTCAAGGTAGGTGACATGCTGGCCAGTACTCACGGGGGCGGATCAACCTAGCCCTCTATTAGCAGCAACTGACTTGCAAATTCTGACGGTGCGGGCCAGCATAAACCTTTCGTGAAGCATGCCCCTATGCTTGACACAGCCCGGCGACAGCTCAGAAGATCACGCTTGCCTCAGCGTCAACACAGCAACTCCCAGAGTGATTGGATAAATCCAAATACCATGTCCCAACCAGGACCATATCGTACATCACTCTTCTTGCAAAAGCTTAATAAGCGTCTCCCCAAAACAAATTTGCCGCCTCAGCCTAACTCTTGTCAAGCTGCTGTCCTGCAGGATTCTCTCTATATCTTGCTGCAGCTTCCTCAGCAGTGGCGGCTCAGGGTTCTTTTCGCCCATCATGCCCAAACAGTGTAAATCCAAAATGTTTTCAACTGCCTCTGGCAAGGCACTTGAAATAGTTGGAACAAACACTAATGCCGACGAACATAGTACTGCTCAGCAAGCAATGAGGCTCACGATCCCCATCTGAACCAAGCACGCAATCTGCCCAAAAGATACAGTTGTTCAAGAACGTCCTCCGTCCACTCAGACTTCCCTGGATGCCTTTGCTTTTGGATGAAATTGCTCCGCTGTGGAGTCTGCGGAGTGTACCGAGCTACCAAGACAAGCGTACGAGCTTCCGCATCGCCAAGTGCGCCAAGGAATTTTGACTTCCGACTTCAACTTTTGTAGTAGGTTTAACATTACCGATTCCTGGATTCCCAGCCCAGCCTGGTGGCTACTTCCCCCAGCCAAGAGCTGATGATAAACCGACTTTCAACGTTTCCCTCTGTGTCCATGTACGTGTGCTGTCAGCAGCATTGTGCTGAGTTTTGTCGATACGCATATGTTCCCTGTCAAGTCCCGTGATTATATGCGCTGGTGGAAGGCATCGCGAGTTGAAGCTGGCTGCCTTGAGTGCCCACACAGTTTTTCCTAATGGCTGGGTGAACGTTGGCTTGGCGGCAGTGCCCATCCTGGATCTAAATGAGGCCTTTGCGTAGTTCAATGGGCTTTATGCGGCAGACGCCTCCTTCTTCACATGTTAGATCAGACATCTCATTGTCATGTCATCGGTTACAATGTGGGCTTTGGGGCATGTTTGCGATGCTATTGTGCAAACATGTTTCCGAAAGTTGTTCCTTCTCGCCTGGCTCATTCCAGGATGCACTTTTCAACTAGCATGTGTTGAGGTAGGCTTTGGTGGTGTGCTTTGCCTACACTGACGCCACCTCTTCTCGGGCATCTGGAGGCCTACACTTCAAAAACACACAGAGCTGCGGATGCCCCAACTGCCCAAGTTTCAAGCTTCAGGCCCAAAAGCTTTAAGATCAGATAACTTATGCTAGACACTGCCAAGCATCCTCACCGCATCATCACTGGACACCGTGAGCCGCGCTGGGGCGCTGCTGACAGAGTTCATACAGCAAGCTTGGCGAGGAATGCAAGTCCCCCTGAAAATAGGCTATTGACCTGGGACTCATGACGAGTCTGCTTGGTGCAGGACTATGCAGGACTTCCATATCCCGGGCCGTTCTTGCAACTTCACGGTTTTCATATTTTTAAATAACGCTGGCTAAAGCTGTCGAGCCAAAGAGGGATTCACCAAACAGCAGGAGTGCTGCCCCAGGTGGCTACAATGTTCAACTGAATGCAAGACGATGTTAGCTGCAAAGATCATGCGGCATACAGTCACAAAGACAAGTAGCGTTGGGCTGTGGGGCCGTCAAATGCGACAATGTTGACCGTACTTAGTTCGCTGGCTGCTACGATCCTCTGATCTATGATGTTTCATTGGCTATTGGCTATTCTAGGCTTGGAGAGGCCAATTACCTCATGCAGCGGGCCAAATTCTCCTGTTGAACTTCCTTACCCCTATACTCATTGTCTGGAGGAGGTCACATTCAACAGTGGTACCTACAGGATGAAGCAAGAATCATGAGTCATGAAATCTTGCGAGGCATTGCAGCCGAAAAGTTTGAGCTTCAGGCGGCCAGTGCCTGGCAGCTGATTGAAAGTTGATTGATGCTGGATAACTTACATGATTGATGTTGAGGTCTTGAGTGGCATGTGAAAAGCACACGTGATTCCAGGTTTCCATTGTCTTCAACTTGAAAGGCTATGAAAAATATAAAAGCCCTCAAGACGCTGTCATTCCAGGTCCGAAGTGTGACTTGCATCGCGAGCCAGCCTCTGACAGCCCCGGTATCAGCGATTGCAGCACGCAAGACCTCATTACATTCAAGCTCGAATCTTTCAATAGCGACCAATCTTCCTGATCCGCAAGCAGGCTGGATGAGAAGTTTTGCATCCTGAAGCGCCGTTGGCCTATCTATCTGGGCTCCAGCACGCCATGCCGCGCACGCCTCGCTCTTCCGGGTGGCGCCTTAGAGTGAGATACGCAAGCTAAAGCTCAGAATGGGCTGCCAAGCTTGGATCTCTCTGCACTGGTCCCTTAATATTGCAGCCTCACCTTTGTTTGGGCAGCCAGCAGCGCTGGTCGACATTCTCCGTTCTTAAGCTGCTTCTGCTTAGGTTCAAGGTGAGGTGAACGTATCAGTGGATCTGGCTTTGCATCCGAGGCTCTGCAGCGCTGCAGCCGAGAGCTCTGCCACTCCTTGCAAGCTCACAAGGGCTGTGGATCAGGGTGGGTCCTTGCCTGCAAAACCCAAGCTTTTGCGGCAGCTCCAAAACGCAAGGTGAAGAAGGACATGGGCAAATGAGCAGGGTCCTAACTGCGCAGCCAATTCCGTGTTGGCGAGGTGCTGCTTCATCAGACACCATGCAGCCTCGGTGTTGATCTGAAATGCTCTGCATGGCGTAGTGAGCCTGCCACTTCTTACTGGACGTGGACACACACAATTCGACTGTTGTGTCAGGAATGTGGCAAGTGCACAAGGTTCACACCCCCAGAGAGGCTGCCAGAACCTTGCGGCCAAACCATGGCACAGAGTGTTCCAATATCAGCAGCAACAAGCACAAACAACTTTCGCGATGTACTCTGAGGTTACCGCAATCGGATTTGATTGATGATGCTTCAGCACGCTTACTACCTCAGCTAGTGCCCAAGCCCGACGAACCACCGCTAAAAGTGACCCTCGCACGAGCTCAGAACGAACTTCCTCGACCTTCTTGGGGCCATGCTCTCTGCAAGCCTCCTCGGGAGGCAATCGCAGCCTGTCAAACGCCGATGACAGGGACGCTTGCAAAGCCACAACGAGCGTGCTGCGCTATCTGCGCTATGCTGCCCTGCCGGCCTGATTGTTGGGACTGTTCGCTGCCAAATTTCCCAGTGCTCCGCAGGCCATGGTCTGCAATCGCGCCTATTCATCCAGCTATATATTTGGTCAGCTGCCATGTGCAGCTCTGCAACTGCTGGAGTCTGCCAAGCGCTTGGCGTGATGGATGAATGCGTCCATCGCGGAAACGATGACCTTTCATGGAAAAGAGATAGGCTAGATGGAAAGGGGCACAAAGATTCCTGCGCATAGGAGGCGATAAATGCGAGACCAAACTTTGATGCCAGCAGGTTGAAAGCACAGCTCTGCAATGCCGCGTAGGCCTCTATGGAGCGGCACCCTAAGAGCGCCGACCTGAGCTCTCACGTGCCCGGCCGGCAAATTTGCAGAGGCATTTCGGGAATTCATGATGCTGGGCAGTCAAACCTGGCACGTGCGTGCCAACGCCTGGCAGACTGATCCGTGCCTGAAACCGATGCATGCAGGACTGAGACGAAGGCTGGTTCATCGGATGATTGGCAGCAAGGCCTGTGCCAGCAGGAGTATCTTGCGAGCTCTGGGAACTCTGCACCCAGTGGAAGATGAAACCCACCGGGGCATTTCGTCGCGCTTCAAAGCTGGCGGTGACATGATTTTCAAAACTATTTCAATCCAAGCAAACACTGTGTTGGAATTCATGCAAGATCAATTCAAAGCGTTCCTCCTGGAGAGGATGAAGGAGACTGGTGGAGTAAAGTGCAACTCTTTTGCCATGCGGTTGCGCCTGCTAAGCCGCTACATGCCGCTGCAAGCAGCCTCAGTCCCCGGAGTGGTGAACATAGTGAAGCTCCCCACAATATGGTAGTTTCCCAAAATAAGGGGACCCCAATATAGACCCCAACATACTATATTCCTTATTATTAGGACCCCCAAAATGCTACCCCTAATTTTGGGAAACCCCCATATGTAACAATGAACCCAATATAGTACCATTCTACAGTGGGTAGATATAGACATAGATTGTACTTACACTTCATCTAACAGCCTCCGTTGCGATGTTGGCTATCTGTGCTGAACAAGCAGTTGGCAGGAGGCTGCCTGTCCGTCATGCAGCGTGTCTTCTTCTTTCTGGCTTGCAGGCGTGCACATGTCCTTTGGCTTCTACAGCTAGGAAACATTCTGAAGGCCAAAGCTCAGCCTTATAAGCTAATTAAAATGCTGTACCGACCAGCCATCTTTCAGACGATCTGTCAGAGGGATCGTGATCGCCTTGTACCTTGTGACAAGACGCCTCGGGTGGGCTGGATCAGCCTTGAGACCCGAGCAGGGCTTGTAGGCTGTGGAGTCTGCGGTGCATGCTTTGCCAGGCCAAATCCAATGCGCTGGGCCTCTGCGTCATAAATCGTATAGAACTTCTTGAGAATGGGCTCACCCAGGATGAAGAGCTTTGGGCCAAGAGGCTCCGGCAAGTCCATGACCATCAGCATGGGCTTGCAAGCGGCTGCCGTGGGCCGTTGCCCAGCGTCTAGCCTGCTAAAATCGCTTCCGTTCAATACTAAACTGAAGCCATCTAACTCCATCCGGAGCTGCGGGCTTTGCACACAGGCACCTTCCTGGGCTGGAGCAGACAGCTGATGGTAAAGGTCGGCAAACAATGGACTTGGTACGGCAAGGAGCGAGGTGCCCGAATCCACGACGGCCTTGCAGCCTTGCTCACAGAATGGTATCTCCTGGTCACCCACCCACAAACCTTTGATCTTTAGCAGCCATCGCCCAAGCTCAGGCTGCAACACGGGACTCCAGTTTACTTCCCCATCCACGTGTTCTTCAGCCCAACCACCTAGAGTGATCTGACTAGTCTCGCCATCATGGCTTGCCAGGAAGATCCCGAACGTCTTGCTGAAGCCACTACCGCGTTCAGCTGTGAGAGCGGAGGATATGTGGAGAAAGTTGAAGGCTGGCGCTTGTGACAAGCTCTCGAGGCCCAGGCCCAAAACACCATCGAACACGAAGTCTGCAAAGGGATGTGGCGACATGTCGGTTGCTGCAATGAAGCGCATACGCAAGCAGTTCTCCGGCCCATTGCCAGTTAGTGGAACATGCGAGCTGCTGGTATCCACTGCATGTACAGACTGGCCGAAGCATAGCGAATCTTCTAAAAAGACACCCATCACTTCGCCGGTGCCGAAAGACACAGTGATCTGATCTCGGGCTTCACCCATCTGCACAAGGCGTCCGTCCCAGTCAATGTCCTCAAGGCATGACTCATTTTGCAAAGCAAGGGAACTATCTAATTGATAGTGGGAGATCTCAGCGGCGTTACATGAGAGACGTGCACCCCTCAATGCGGATCAAACAGCATGGTGGTGATGCTCCCTGTTACTTGGTTTATGTGGCTTCCTATTGACCTTCACGTGGAGGTTAGCCTGTGTTCTGCAAAGTGGCCCGTGCAGTCGTAGAAGAGCTCCGTCGATAGCGCCTGTGAGCTTTGCCTTAAGAAGCGCATGAAAAACATGCATGCTAGATCAGGCTGCCAGGATGTATCCATCCTTCAGCGTTCGGAAAACTGATCTGGAGGGAGTGTGGGGAGCACAGCAAGGAACCTCAAGTAGAGAGGACTGCTTCCCAGCAAAAGACTCTTCATCTTGATAACACTTGGAACATCACCTATGCTTATAGCCAGCCAGGCTGCAGGTGCTGGAATGGCAGTATGAGCTTGGCAGAATGAGGTGCCCACTGCCGGTGTCGAAAACCACGGTGAAGGGTTTCGGCGGAGTACCAACCATGATCGTGCCGTAGTATGCACCTGTTTTCGACTCGTTTCGGCAAGAAAGAAGCTGTTCTGATGTTCGGAACATGCCTACATATGCAACCAACCTCGGCGTGCCTTGCAAAGATTTGCAAACCACGAAAAATATTATGCTCTTTGGCCACGGTGCTCTTATAATGTATGGCATCTTCCAGGACATGAATCTCCTGCTCCGACCGCTGCAGGTTCACGGTGATGTGAGCTTCTGCGATGTTTTTGGACCTGCTACCAACCTTCAGGGACAGAGGAGCACTGCGACGGCAAAGCGAGTGGGAGAGAGGTTAGATGCTACACTGGTATGAAAGTGCTGGAGGACCCTGTCTGCATGACGCCTGTGCAGAAAGCACATGCTATGTATTCGGGTTTCTTACGCCATTTTGAACTTAAGGTAGAGTCACCTGCCTGTATCGGAGACTCTGTTGCCGCCAGTGCTTCAGACATGTTGCAGCCAGCATTTTGATCTCGGTGCAATTCGTCCCTACTCTCTGCCAAGCAGCACACACCAGCTTCGTGCGCCAATCGGTTGTTCATTCTTCCAGGTTTTTCAACCACGCCCTGATGCATCTTTGACTTTGACGTCATGTGATGAACGCTGAGCAAAGCCCGTGAGCGGGCTGGAGGCTCTGCTGCGACCTCAGCATATCCATCTGGAATACTTGCTGCTGCGGTCTGCACGCCGCCCACAGCAAGGCACCACACCGGCAGAAACCAGTTGAAGCGCGAAGTCATGCCTTTGCTCTTCTGTGAAAGATTTCCGCAGCAAACCTCCTTTCTGCCTAGCGCAGGTATTCCTGGCATGCGGCAGCGCATACCAGAAGAAAATATGGAAGAGGCAGCTATGTACGCTGGCTCCAGGTCACGCTGCGACATGGCAGCGCCCTAGTATAAGGTCGCGTGAGTGAATGAATCGCTTCTCGGATGAATCACAGGAGGTAATCGCGCAACCAACATGCGCGACTCCCGCAAACAGTAAGCTGGGCTCGCATTGGGTTCGAGCCACACAAAAGGACTGCAGAAAGAGGCCCTTGACAAGCTGAGGCAGAGGAGGCTTTCAAGCGTTCAAGTTGCACGTTAAACATGGAGGTAAAACAAGCATGCTTGCACTTGGGATCCCAGACTCCGGATCATGTGGGAATCGCCGCATGGCCTCGCCATTTGCAAATACTTCAGTGCAGGAAGCTTCCTCGTCAATTCGTCTTTCTGACAGTAGGTAAGTGGATGATGCCCTCTGAGGTGCTGGGTAGGTCAATGATGCTCGTAGGTTAGCTCGGGGAAGTTGCTAGCTCTGAGGAAGGGGATCTACGCACCATGGGTACTTCAAGGAAGGAAAAGCTGAGCTGTTCGCAGCGACAAGCTCCTCCGTGGCGCCATTGTTTGTAGCAGCCTTATGCTGGGGGGTGAGCTTCGAATCCACACACAAAATCAATCGCGCAAGATGTTGAAGCAAACTGGGTGTCCATCACGCCAGGACAAACACTTCATGGGCTGTGCCATTACCAATTAAACTCATACCTGTAATTGGTACAAAGCTAAAGACCCCGAATAGGGACAACATATCAAGAGCAATTAGCACAAAGTACATACGCCATGATACTTAGTGGAAGGAAGGAAAATATGCAAAACTGATCAACACATGTAATTTAGACATGAAGAGGAATGAAAGTAACTATTCGTTCTCAAAAATCCGGTAGGAAGGTAGCATGCTACGTACGCCCCCCTCCCCCCCGGACATCTCTGCAGACCCCTTCCGGCCCCAAGCCCCAAGCTAATATCACCATAAGCATACCACAGAAGCCCACCTCATGTTTTTTCAGGATGAGGAATACCCTCCAGACCTCACTAGCCATTTTGGCCATGAACAGCACTTGCACCAACTGTCCACTGAGCACTGCCGTAAAACTAGATGCCATGCTGCAATTGGTGCATCCAGGGGCACAACTTTGTGAACTATATGTATGATATGGAATAGTAGTAGGAATAAGTAATCACTGAGAGCCCCGCCGCCTGAAGTGCAGGCCATGAGGCTGCAGCGCTCAACGCGGAAGCGGCCGCCTTTTCAAGGGACGAAACTGGGAATTTCTTTCGCCACGGCTACACTGCGGCTACATGACTACTGCTGCCGTTGTTGCAAAGCTTCGTGCAACATCCGTGGTAGCTGAGGCAACAGTTTTTCAGATTGGTGGACTTGTATGAGCGTTCTGGTTTAGACCTCCAACAGGTCTAGTCCATATCCAAGCATGTTGCAATTGTCCTTCCTGCTCGTGTTTGCTCCATCTGCGCCTAATGAAGATCTCCTGCTTCTGCCTGCGGCCTCCCACTCCTAGATATCCCAATGGCTGCTCCTTGCCGCTTGGGTGGCTGCTGCGGGGAAGCAAGCTTACTTTCTCAGTTCAAGGTCTCTGATGAAGGCATTCCGCATTTCCACAGGCTACGTCTTGGATTTGCCAAATTCTTTCAGGACTGCAGCCCTCGCCAATACTGGCCATCGCGACAGCATTTTACGATCATATCTTGGGAGCCAAGTAGACTTCTTTTCGGCTCTTCCTCGGCTTGTCAATGTGAGTTGATTTGGCAGGTGCCTGCCTCTTGCAGTCGCGGGTTCGCGCAGTGCCTTCGCATCGCAGCTGCAATTGCCTCATCAACGCCAAGCTCTCTCACCCTCACCCACCTGGACACGAGCGGAAAGCGGAGCAAGGGGCCTCCACCGTCGCAAAGGCCTGGTGATCGGAGAAGGAGGTTTGACATCCTCGTAGCCAGCTGCCCAACCTTGAACTTTATTCCAGTAGACTTCAGCATAGAATGGGTCTCGCAATTGTCTGCAGTCTTTTTGACGGAGTTGCGACAGAGCCTTGCGCTCACGTGTGAGGCTTTCAGGGCTCTTCGCCTTAGCGTTTTCCTTGGACGGCCGTGATGAACAAGGCACTATCTACAGACACTGGGAAGCCGGTAGGCACAAAAGCTGGCGATGCTTCCTTGCAATGGGGAAAAGCCTCAAGCAGGACACCTTCTTGGATCCGCTTGGGCCGCATTGAGGGCAGCGCGCTCCTCAATCCCAAAGACAGCCGAGGCCCAAGTCTCAGGCAGCCAGCTGACAATTAAGTTAAGAAATCAACATCGTGGCCAGAACTATGTACCCCAGCGAGCTCAAACTGATGCCAAGGAAGGAGTTGAAGAAGAACAGATTGTTCTCGCCTCAGCATCAGCCAACAAAGCAGACTGCAATATTGCTGCATGATCTGAGAGGGTGACCGATGCACTTGTTCATCCACGGGCAGTGGTGATCCCAGCCCATAATACCTGAAAGTTGGGATTTATGACTTGGACGTGTGCCATTGTGCCCCAGAGCAGCAGGCCTGCTGCCACGATTTGTACCTACTGAGTAACTAATGCTTGCAGGAACTGCAGCAGCGGCACCAGCAGGAGGCGGTCGGTGGCGTTGGGGACCCCCCCCTACACCCACCAAAACCACCACGACGACAGTGGCACAGAACCACAACGCACTACGAGCACGACCACAATCACCACCTTCATAATGACTACGGTTGAAACTGCAACTACAAGTGTGACGACGACAACGACGAGGGTGACCACCAGCCGCCACTGCCTCCACTACCACTAGTCACTAGTGCCACTTCCGCCTAACACCACGCTCACACTGGCACTACAATGATGGATTCAGCTACCGCTGGTGCGGTCGCTTGTTCAAGACCATGTCTGTCCTGGATTGGGAGCGTCGTGTTTTAGTCGGAGACATGCTAACTCACTTCGCATGTCGTCAGATCGCGAAGGCTGACTGAGGCCACGGCAAACATGGCAATAGTCACAATGTAGGACTCCAACAGGCTGCTTGATGTTGCAAGCCTCAGCTTCGCTGCCAGTTCAACGCATTTAATCAATGCTTGGATCATGCCATCCTGCTATATACACCATAATAATCCCAGTTTCCATTTTCTTTTCCATTTGATTCTCCATTATAGTAGTTTCCATTTTATTTTCCATTATCCCCAATATACTATAGAGTAAGAACAACACCCCCTTATGTCAGTTCGCTGCTTGACCTGGCCAGGTAGCCGTGCAGTGCCTCTTTCCATTTGAAGCAAAGTATTGCTCTGGCTCTCCGGGTCCTGGCTGGGGACAAAGAGACCCCCGCTGCGCGGCTGCGCCGCAGTTGAGCTGCATGACTTAAATTACCTGCTTCATCCTCAAGAGGTAACATCCTTCCATCAACAAGATTTTGCGGAGCTTCCGCGAAGACTTCTGACCCTCTTGATCTGGACTGGCACTTGGAAGAAACTAACCTCTACAGACTTTTCCACAGAGTGTGCCCTGACAGTGGCTTCGGAGGTGCTGCTGCTGTGAGAGGGCCTTTGTAGTCTGAATGTTGGGCTTAAGATGCGTCCCCGCATGCTTCCATGCGCATGACGAGAAGCGCACGCTTCGGAAATGATGCGGGAATGGCTTCCATATTTAAGTGTGGATTCGCAACGGATAAGAGCCTGCAGCTCATATGTCGTGAGTGCGGGCAGCCATCACGCCAACAAGCACCATTGCGGCTGCATGTTCTACAGCTTTATCTATGCCGTCATCTGCATGTGAGCCTGGCACCAGCCTAGCATCGATGGCTTGGAATTAATTTCGCTCCCAATCCCACAACCCCTTCAATGGCCTCCCTTGCTGCCAAACCGTGGCTGGAGGATACCCGGGCTCCTGCACTTCAATGCCACACAAGAAGCATGTTGATTAGCCCCCAAGGCTTCACCAAGCTCTTCTACTTTAACTAAACACTGCGTCTTAGGGTTGTCTATTGGGGGGTAATATTAGGGTAATCTTAGGACAGGTTTGCCAGTGGGCCGCGGGCCATTGCCATAAAAATCTGCTGCCGAGTCTCGAAAGAGCGCAGGATAAGAATGAGATTGCTGAAGAGGTGGTAGCAAGAATGCCCAACGTGCAGTGTATCCTCGGAAGCAGCTACAGTTGGTACCAGGTTGCTTCTATTTACCGCTTTCATGACATCACAATACTATTTGAACATGGTTCATGTCTATCGACAGTGAGTGCACAAAATATCAACGTTGCATCAACATGCAATGCCGACATGTGAGACAAGCTTTGCGGCTGATTTCACAGATCTGAGTTCCAGACACGCTGGCTCTAGAAGTATGGTACCTCCCAGATTTGGAGTCTTGCAGTCTGCAAAGGCAATCTGGAGGGTGTGCTGGTCCAGGCTGCGTTTGTAGCGAAAAAGCATTCCACGAGGTGTGCAGGCGAATCGACAGGCGCTCGTTCTGGATGCACAACGTGTGTATGGATTTGCTGGAAATTGGCCGACTCTGCTCGGGTTGAGCTCATCTCAAGAAGTCAAACATGCCTGTGCAACTGCATGCCCGGGGCACGAGACAAAGGAAGCGCCAATACCCAAAATAACCTCAATGTGCCAACATCAGGCACCAGCGTCGGTATCAACCAATGCATTCATGAACGTTCAAGCAAGCCCGATACACTCCCACACCAACTTGGTCATAGCAATTGCACAGCGCAGTTAGCTGGCGAGTGCAGCGCTGCAGGCGAGGAGCTGCCAGCATTATGATAGAACCTGAACAGCCGCTGCTCAAACATTGCATCGATCGTTTCTTTTCTTCGTTGATATCCTGGTGAGAACCGCCACAACCCAGCCTTCGCCCCTGAACTGATACTGTGAACTTTCCCAGCTTGTCGCAGCTGACAGAACCAGGTATTGGCGCAGTCGAGACGCAACACCAGTGAGGACCAACGTATGCTGTACGGCCGCAGCACCGCAGCAAGCGAATTCTACCAATCTTCGCCTGAGATACCAAACGGAAGACGCGGCTTTACGGAGTCCTCTGCTGAATTTGCACTTTTGAACCTTTTGCAATATTCAAACACTCTATCTGGGCCGTAGTCAAGACAATTCACAATTCTAGATCTGCTGGAGGCTGGGCTCGGGGGATACAAATGCAGAGCCAGTTGCCGGCGCATCAGGACCACCCATGAAGACATCGGGCTGCAGCGGTACCCTTCGCGCCTAGCAATGTGCCCTGGAGACAGCTCCCGCTCACTGCGCGCCTACCACTTTGCCTGACTCGTCTTAAATTACAAGCGTGGCCTAGGCATGTCCACATTTGCTCGGCATGAAGCACCCCGCGTGATGGTCTTTGGACCGCGGCCTTCGCCAAAAGCTGCTCCTCAGCCTGACGTCTGGGCCACAACTGATTTACACAGTCAACTACACCCGGCTGCAGCAAACCCTCAAGGCTGCCCATCATGGCCCTGCCTGCGCCTCTTCATCACGTTCCACATTTTCTCGACCTGCCAGCGCAGGACTAAGCAAAAAATTGTGTGCACATCTGCGAGTCATGGACTGACAGCCACTACTCTTCTGCATTTGCCGTTGGTGTCACTTCAGCGCTTGAAGCTAGTTTTTTGGATGACTCCTGGTAGATCAAGCTTCGCGCTGATCTTGCAGGAGGTAGTGCTGCCAGCCCAGCCTTCGCTCACAGCGCCGGCACTTTCTGTACCCACCATGGCCGGCGCCAACTCCACAGGCATGGCAACTACCAGTCTTGGCCAAACAATCAGCTGCGGAAGCGCCCAAATCTTAGCGAGCAATGCTCTCACAAACGGCATAAGGAGATGAATTGAAATCGCTATGCCTGCAGGCATGTCCGAATGATGGGAGTCTTGGAGCCACGCACTCTGCAGCCTGATGTTTGGATGTCGGATGCCTGAGCTCTTCACTGCCCTTTGGTGGCTCTGCCTACTCGGCTAACTAACAGCGAAACAGCCTGAAGCTACTTTTCGTCATGGTATCAAATGGCGCACCCTCCGTTGAGTGAGGTGTGCCAGGATGCTGTACAGAGTCTGAGAAGGGGGCGGTCGGGTGCCGCACCATCAGCTCTTTCGCCAGTAAGCAGGAGGCTGCCAAGCAAGAGAGCTGAATAGGAAAGAATCTCGCACTCGTAATCGAGTGACTCAGTGATATAACCTTGCAGCTCATCCGAGCAGGTTGCAGGCTGCGGGCCTGAGGGGCCATCGCCACGAGGAGCCAGAGCTGCCGCTGCGCTTAGCGCACGTGACGAGAGGGCAGCCTGCGCAATCACGTGGTCAAAGCAATTTGGACAGCGCGATTACTGCCAGTGAAGCTGCCAAGATCTGGCAACACCCAAAACCTCTGCCACCCTGCCTCCGCATCAAAGACCACAGCAGACTTTTCAAACTCAGGACACCTGACGCAAAAACCCAGAACTGCCAGTGAGAGGATGGCGCGCAGCAAGGAGACCCTCCCCCATTTCCCACGCATAGGTAGCAGGTCCCGAACCGAGATGTCCTTGACAGAAAACTACCGCCCCGTGTCCGAGGACGCGGCTGCGGTGGAGATTTCAACTCCTCGGAGGTACGGCAAGCTGCCGTCTCGCGCCGCGCATGACCGGCAATTGCTTGGTTGCTGAGCCCAACTGGTCGGATGGCACTCTGGGTTCATGGCCATCATCACGTTTGCCTCTGGCTCGTACTTGAGAACGTGCTCCTGCAATTTCGGGTTGTCTGCAAACACAAAGATCTAGAAAGCTACAGGACGCCAACATGATTGCAAAGTAGCTGCATACTTCATCAAGGTACCTAACCAACTCAACCCTGAGTCATGGACGATAACAGGTTCCAGTACAACGGCACCCTGAAAGTCTGCTTCGGTGAACCTTGGAGGCACGAGCAAGAGGCAGGCACTCTGGAGCCATCCAGCTACAAGCTCATGAATCTTTATTTTCTGTAGGGGTTGCGCCATGTGGTGACTGGCCTATGTTGGCCGTGCATCATGCCTCAATGCCTGAGCGCTGGACGTGTGCAACGGCCCCACACCACCTCAGTCATCAAGCTCAAAAAACGAGATTCAGTAGTGCTCGTGCAATACGCACCGGGCAGTTCCGATGCTTGGCAAGGCTCAGCTTCCGTCAGTCTTGTAGATTGGTAGGCCAAAAACCAAGTCAACTCTCGTCACCATACTCTCTACACATAACACATGCCCGGAGACTCAAAAACTAAACCATTCAATCAAGCCGTGTCTGCATTGACGTGAGTTCGAGGGGCTATAAGACTTGGAGCGAGCTTTCGCTACCAGAGCGTCGTGGCCCCCGTAGGCCTCCGCAGAGAAATATGCACGTGCTTGAGACTGTGCTGATGCATGCTGACACTGTTCTGGGGTCCTAAACTCTTTGGGGATTGCCACAGCGCTTAGGCCCAGCCTCTTGAAGAGTCTCGCATGCTGTTCACATTAAGTTA